TGAAAAAAAAAACAAAAAAAAACAGAGTACCTACGAAAGCAATTGAGTGAGTGTCAATAACCGCATGCGATTGCAGATTGCATGGCTCTGGCTCTGTATTACAGACAGTCTAATTATTGTCAGCCAGTTCACCTTGTTTAAATTAGGGATGTAACAGTGCACATATTCATATTGAAAATTTTGGGTACAGGTCTTTCAGTTTAGTAAGCATGTGTACCTGATGAATGCAGTGCAATGATAGATGAGGAGAAGGCGGAATGCTCTGAATGCCTGAGGCAGGAACTGCTGGTAAATTTTGACATCTCACCTGAGATTTATTGTCAATGCTTCAGAGCAACAACAACTCCAAATGCAGAAACCCCCACTGAAACTAACTAGTGTCTCAGGGCTCTCAACAGCCACTGGGTCCGGCCTGAAAAACACACCAAACAAGGGGATTGTTGAGGTGATTATCTATAAACAGCTGCTGAACTGCTCTGCGATGTCTGGACTTGGATGAAAGAACATGAACCAGTAGATGCCATGGAATTGGCAAGTGGCGAGAAAAAGCCACATCAGTACACAGCTTTCTGAACACCCCTGAGCATGCCCTTTGGCCTTCATGGAGTTCCTGCTACTTTCCAGTGGTTTATGGACCGTGTTCTTCAGGGTTGAAATACTGGTTTGCTTCTCATTTGGATGATGTGGTTGTGTAGGCACTTTAGAAGTTGAAGATAGATCTTTGAACGATGTTGATAATTCTTGACTGGGGGCACAAATCGAAGCCTATAACAGCAATGAAAAGAATGTCTCAGTATGGCCTAAACAATAATATTTGTGGCAGTAATTTTTATTGCCTTTGTTTGTTGTGGAATGTTGCAGATTACACCAGAATTTAGATCTGTTTTGTTCTCTTATTCTGCAGAAGTGAAATGACAGACAGATTTAAATTACTGAATTGCATGAAACTTCGTCAAAAGTTCTCCAACATCACTCCAGCTAAGAGGTATGTCATAACGGGGAGAATTATGCCATTTAAATAAGAATATGAGCAAATAATCTTATCTAAGGAATAATATGCAGTGACCAGGTTTTGTATCAGCCTCTTTCTTTCTTTTTTATACATAAACAGTGTAGTAATATCTCTTCCTTTCCCTCAGTATTGATATGACAAATGTCACTGGGGATCTCTCAGCATTCATGAGCTGTCCACATGTGTCCAATAGAACCCAAAAGGAGCTAAACAGGTGTGTGGCGAAACAGACAATTAAAGTAAATATGACTGTTGCTGGTGCATAAGTGTATTATGTCCAATTCTGCTTCTGGAGGCCCAGACGTCCAGGCAGGTGTGTTGATAAACAGATAAACTAACCCTCCAGAAGCAGGACTGGACACCTAATGTGCAGTAACATGAGACATGCAGTAAAATCATCCAATGCAGACAATAAAAACAGTAAAATTATCTACCATAGATGTCACATTAACATATCAACTTCTGCATATAGAGACAACGAGAAGCACAGGTTAAGGAACACTCCACTATTTTTGAAAATAGGCTCATTTTCCATCTCCCCTAGAGTTAAACAGTTGAGTTTTACCGTTTTCGAATCCATTCAGCCGATCTCCGGGTCTGGCGGTAGCACTTTTAGCTTAGCTTAGCATAGATAATTGAATCTGATTAGACCGTTAGCATCTCGCTCAAAAATGACCGAAGAGTTTCTATATTTTTCCTATTTAAAACTTGACTCTTCTGTAGTTACATTGTGTACTAAGACCGACGGAAAATGAAACGTTGCCATTTTCTATGCCGATATGGCTAGGAACTATACTCTCATTCCGGCGTAATAATCAAGGAACTTTGCTGCCTTACCATGGGTGCAGCAGGCGCAATGATATTACGCAGCGCCTGAAAATAGTCCCCAGCACGCTCCCTGTGTTCCTAGTTCCTAGTAGAGGTCTGCATGGGCTTTAAAGTGAAGCCCGAACCCGGCCCGTACATGAGGTCGTCTAACCCGACCCGACCCGACCCAAGCGGCACAGTTAAATTTAGAGCCCGAACCCGAAATCTCCCCCCACCCCCCCACAACGAATAGCCAATTAAAAAAAAAAATGCTGTATTTCACGTTTGCACGCAACGGTCAGTAAACAATACATGTAAAGAAACACAATCATTAAGGCTCGGCCAGTTCACAAGGCAAAAGAAAAAACACTTACCAGTTATGAAAGTTTATGAACATCAGGTGCAGCGGTCACATATATTCTGCCGAGTTTTTGAATGGTTGTATACGACAAGACGATAATTCTTCCATCGTGCACGGAAGCAACAGAAAGATACTTGCATGTTTCCCGGAAGACAAATGAAGTACAATTTACCTTGATCTTCAAATTCAAAAAGTTTTCACCCCCTGGCTCTTAATGCATCGTGTTTCCTTCAGGAGCATCAGTGAATGTTTGAAGCTGTTTTAATAGTTGTGTTTGAGTCCCTTAGTTGTCCTCAGTGTGAAAATATGGATCTCAAAATCATACAGTCACTGCTGGAAAGGGTTCAAATACACAAGAATGCTGGAAAACCAAAGAATTTGTGGGAGCTGAAGGATTTTTCTGAAGAACAGCAGGCATTTTAACTATTCAGAACAAACAAAGAATGCTGACCAAAGAATTTGTGGGAGCTGAAGGATTTTTCTGAAGAACAGCAGGCAGTTTAACTATTCAGAACAAACAAGGGACTCATGAACAACCATCACAAAACAAAAACAAAACAAAACAAAAAAACAGTGGTAGATCATTCAGGTGACCACACGTAGTATTAAGAACCAAGGGTTCCCAAACCTTTGAAGGGGGTTATTTGAATAATTTCAGCTTTTTTTTCTGTCTTGTGGACTATATGTAAACATCTTTTATGTAAAATATCTTACTCAGGACAGTACTAAATAAAAATAACATGCATTTTGTATGATCTCTCTTATTTTGCTAAAGGGGTCATATGATGCGATTTCAAGTTTTCCTTTCTCTTTGGAGTGTTACAAGCTGATTGTGCATAGATAAGATCCCTGAAGTTGCAAAGACTAAAGTCTCAAATCCAAAGAGATATTCTTTATAAAAGTTAAGACTCTGCCACGCCCCCCTAAAACGGCTCGTTCTAACACGCCCCCACATATCTACCTCACCATGTGGAAATATTTGCATAATGCCGCCCAAATTCTGTTACACCAAATACACAAAATAATGATCTTTAAAAAAGCATCATATGACCCCTTTAAAATTATTCACATTTTCACAGATTCTGCAAGGGGTTCCCAAACTTTCGCATGCCACTGTATCACATGTATAGCAAGGACACTGTAAAGTAGAAAATAATCTAGAGCAGAAGACTAATTACAAAATAATAGTTATTAATATGTGCAGAGTGGAATAGAATACATTCAAAATCAAAGATAGAAATCACAATAAACATGTCTGTTGCGACAGTGTTCTGTTATAAGGATCTGTCATATAACTTCCAGAAAGGCTGTTGTTTGAATTCATGGGGCTCTCATTTTTATTGACATTTTAATAACCCTACATATCAGAATTTTGCCTCCTTCAGTTGAGCTTTTAATCCAGCAATTTTTAAATTATTTATATTTTTTCAGGTTGAACTTGGCTCCCGTTAATGGCAGTGATGTTGGGGTGAAGACTGATCTAGTGACCATCAATCCCAGTCAGCTCTCAGCAGAGTGAGACGATATTAACACAATTATTAACATAAAGATTCAAATTAACATTATTTAAGTGGGGAAAGTAAGATAAAATTTCATATACTGTATGTATTAATGTTGCAACTTATCATTTATGTGCATATCTCTGCAGTTTCAGAAATATGGCTGTGAATCCAGGTCCGCTGGTGCGGCGCGTGAGTGTGTATGGAAATGCGTCTCTGATGATTCCAGCCTTTGCATACACAGTCTGCACTGCGGTGTCAATTAAAACCCTCCAGGTGCTCCAGCCGATCAGACCTCAGCAGCCTGTGGTGTTCTTTAGTCCCTACTACCTCAAGACATTGGACCGTTTCTGGAAGGGGCTTGGCCTGAAAGAAAAACGCCTCTCCACAGGTTTCATGTTAGTTAATATGGCACTAGAGCTATTTGATGATGTGCATTTATATGGATTCTGGCCATTTGACATCAATCTAAAGCAGCAGACACTTCAACACCATTATTATGACAACAAACCACCCAAACCGTTCGTGCACGCCATGCCAGAGGAGTTCGTCCACTTGTTACAGCTTCACAGCCAGGGGGCGCTAACACTGCACCTACAGCCCTGCTTATAACACACACACACCTTGTCATGGGGTGCCCTTTTCTTATGTTTGGACAAAAATATTTTAATCTTTTCTATTTTGCGGCCGACCAAAGTGATGTACAATAAGTACAATACAATTACAGAGAAAAAAACAAAAAAAAACAACTACAAAAAAAACAACAACAACCAATTAGATAAAATTACATGTTAAAAGCCAAGACAAACAAATTAGTTTTGAGACTGGATTTAAACTCAGATAAAGTGGAAGCCATTTTAATTTGAGTCTGGAGATTAGAGTGGAGCCAGCCACTTCAAAGGCTCTATTGCCCCTTGTCTGCAAGCGTGTTCTGGGAGTCTGAAGGAGGAATGTGTTTTCCGATCTAAGTCCTCGCGTAGGAGTGTAAGGGTGAAGAAGGTCCGGGTAGAATTCAAATAGCTCCGATACATTTTGTGTCTGCGCCGACTCGCGCATGTGATCCGCTCCGTGCTATCGTGTCTCTGGACCGGAGCAGAGCGTGTGTGCGGTGCGGTGGTTAGCGTGACACAGCGCGAAACCAGACTTATTTTTTTCCTCAATGGAAAGCATATTTACACTGTTTGAATCGTTCCCTGTCCCCTATATAGTGCACTACGTGCCATTCACTGTACAGTTTCATGGGGACTTTAAGGATTTATAGACCAGTAATAAGATTTTATATATTTTATATTACTGAACAGGCAGCCAATGTAGAGATCTCAGAAGGGGCGTAAGATGATCAAATTATTTACATCCCTTCAGGAATCTAGCTGCTGCATTTTGAACTACTTGTAAGCGGAAAAGTTGAGTCTTTGAAACACGTAATATAGAGGATAGCAACCTCTAAAGAGGCTTTAGAAAGAAAGGTTTAAATTTTAGAAAGAGAGCGAAGATAGAAAAAACTAGAGTCTACTACAGAGCTGATTTGTTTGTCAAATTTCAAGCCGTTGTCAATTTCTACACCCAGATTCCACACTTGAGAAGAAATAGCAAAAGCTGCAGTCCGTACGTTTTGCCTCTTTGTCGCCATCTCTGTTTGAAAACCTGGAATTGCAGCTGTGTGCAGAATTATCTAGCTTGCGTGGGTTGTGAGTCGGCGCGGCTCCAGCGCGGATGAATCTAATGTTCTGAAGAGTACGTGTGACAGTCAGTCACCGCACCGGTGTGGATATTTACTGTACTTCGCAATCACAGATTAGCCTACGTCTTGGAATATGACCCAAATAAGAATTTTCACCGGATAGTGTCATCAGAACAAGTAAGTAACAAGTCTGGCACGTTTGTTCTGACCAACTGAGGAAAAAAGCATTACAATAAATCTCGCTACCAATGGTGATTAAATCTAAAGATCGGTTAGCTCATATCACATCAAACCGTTCAAATTATTATTATTGTTATACTTTATTCTCAAAT